GAAGAGGCAGGTGGCAGCGGCAGCGGTGGACGACTCCGCCACGAGGGATCTGAGGCGCTTGCTCCGGCTTGAATGAGCCGAGGCAGGATCGCTTCCGGATTTCGGGTCGAGGAGACCCGGATATAACCGACCTGTCTTCCTTTCCTTCGTTGCATTCCTTATTCTAGAATCTTCTTCTACTTCTCCGTTACGCCCCTCTGGTTTTGGAGTCCTGACCCGACCGTGATTTTTTTAAACGGGAGGGCGGATCCGGAATTGGGGAAAGTTTGGGGGCCGAAGTGTTAATAAAGAAGTTTGGAGTAGTTTATGTTTGGATGGCGTGTAAGATTGTAAGATGTTGTGGCTGTGGTGGTGAAGGCTGGGTTTTTTAAGGGTAAGGTTAGGTTGTAATTTCAGGTTAGAGATGGAAAATAAAGTAAACTAAATTATAAAAAAAAAAAGGAAAGAAGGGAAGAAGATGGGGGTTGATTTGTAAAATCCGGAAGTGAATGGGTGGGTTGGTTTGGATTGGTTTTTCTGTGGGCTAAAATTCGATTCTGCTCTGTGGTCCATTAGAGGGCATCTTTAGGTCTGTACCCTTTTGTAATATAAAGTGAAAATATTAAATAGGGAAATTTGGCCAGATTCTAATTATCTTTCACTTATTTTGTTTCATCTTAAAATTACGATCTTAAATTACAGAAACAATGGAGAAGAACAAGATGGATGATCCTGATTTATTATGATTGTTTTGGGTAGAGGGATGATAAGGTGGGGTTGGAGTTTGAGGAGAGAGAAGAAAAGATCTATAATTTGGTGAAGATAAGGATGTTGGAGAGTTATGTCATGTATCATGTGTTATTACATCTTTCTCTTTGCACTTCAATTCAAAGACACATCAACAAAACAACATATATATGCTTTGCTTAGAATAACTTTTATAAATACTACCTAGGTGTCCACATACAGAATCATCTTTCACTTTTCTCAAAACTCAACTTTTCTGCCACTTTAACTTTTCATGCTCTCTCATTGCTTTAATCATCAATACCATCTGTCACTAAAAACAAATATATTTTAATTAGATTAACTCTCAAATTAAGTTCCTCTCATTCCGTTTTAGGTAATTGGATTTCAAAAGTTACTTTTATTTAAATCCAATTATCAATAAAATCCAATTATCTCATCGATGTAGCATTCAATGATAGTCTAAATAAACGTGAAAACTAGTAATATGTAATGCAGAATTTGAGAATTATATCCATCTTGTTTTCTCAAAATAAGCTTTTGCATCAGCTTTAACTTTTTCTTTAATTTTTAAAATAACGTAAATGTTATGTGCCAAATTACGAGTTTTTATAAATGAGCCTGACATTGAAGCTAAATTATATCCATATTGTTATAACTTATTGTAATTCAATTGAAAATAAACTGACAATAACTTAATTATGTTTTGGTTGCTGTAATTGATTAGGTCATTGTAGTATTGTGTGCATTGGATTTTGCTTAAAATAAATCCCCAAATTTTTAAAAGGGGATTTGAATTCATTATTCCGTGCATTAGTACCATATTCAAGTATAAGAATCATTAAAACACTTAACTTACAAGAGAAAAATCATATGATAATGTAGATACACCTTTTCGTATTATATTTTTTCATCTCTATCTTTATTTTTCTAATCTTTCTACACCATTAATTCGTTTTTTTTTCTTTTCTGTTTACTCTTCTTGGAATTTTAGTATGGAGTGATTATTTGAGCCCAGTTGTGTGTAGTCCATTAGTTGCTCAGAGTGGCCCAATATTTTAATATGTAGAAATCCACATTTACGCATACCACATAAATGAATAACATTTAGAGAGTATCACTAAAATTTATATGGTGTTGCTCCCTCCATCACCCCCATTTTTATTTTATTTTTCTCTTTATTTTTCCATTCCTACTTTATCCTTAGTAAAATTTTAGGGTTAATATATTTTTATATTTATTCACGTCCAATCCTTTAAATATAACAACTCTTCTTCTTCTTTATTGTCTCTTATTGTTTTATTGTGTTCTTCTTCCTCTTTTTCACGTTTCACTTCTTCTTCTCATTCTTTAATTGTGATAAGACTTTTATTGATGTTCACATCCATTTAAAGTTACATGTTTATTTTTCAGTTTATTTTTGTTAGTTTATTTTTTATATTAATTTTGGAGATATTTTAATAATGTAATTTATGTTTTGATGTATTATTTTTTAATATATTTTTTTTATGTATTTTAATAACGTATTTTTGAATTATTAGTTTATATTTATATTTTTTGTATTTTGCAGTTATATATAATTAGTTTTTTGTTTTAATGTTTTTGTATAATATATTTTTTATATATGATTTTTGTATTCTTTAACAATTTTATAATTATATAAAAAATTATTTATTAGTTTAATTATATGAAACATATAATTTTATTATATTAATATTTTTGTAATTAAAACAAATAAATGTGGTGGAGTTGGGGGGTGGGAATCGAAAAAGAAAGAGAAGGAGAGTTGAGAGGTGTGACTGAGTGAAAAGTAAAAATGGATAGAAAGATGATGTTTGAGTTTAAAGTAAATAAATGAGGTTAAAAATAAAAAAGTTATTTTTGTAATTAAAATTTTCTTGTAGGGAGATGGAGGGAGAAGTAGTGGTTGTGGAGGGAGCAACACCCAAATTTATATTATAACTTACAAAAGACGTTTACATACAAGCATTCATAAAAAGAAATATTTTTCGTTAATTTTAAAATAGTAGGTTGTAAAATTAATAAATTTATTTATATTTATATGATAAAATGATAAAAAATAGTTATAAAATATAAAAAGTAAAAAGTAAAATTGTTAGAAAATGGGTACACAAAACAAAACGGATATGGAGAGAAATAAAATTTCATTGTATAGATATATTTATAACTTTCCCTTCTAACAAATATTTAATCTTTTTTATAAAAAATTATTTCCATCAAATTGCTTCTCTTAAAAGTCGTTCATTATATAATGTGAATTTTAAAAAACAAAAGCTTACTAAGTTTTTAATTCTAAATGTGATTAATTAGGGCTTGAAGATTAGAAAGATAAAACTTCGAAATTTCAGAATCATAAAAATTAACCTCTTTTTTTTAAAAAAAAATTCAACTATTATCCCAAACTAACAATAAAAAAATATAAACATTTATGTAAACATGTTTTAAATTAGTTTCCCTTCCAACTTGGTTTGGATATCCTCTGATAAAATAAATTAGAATTTTGAACCTGCGGAAAAATTGTTCTAATGTATATCTGTTTGTCATTAATGATGGAGAATAATTATTGATTTTTTCACTCCTTCAAGATATAAACTTATCTAAAGTTTATAAGTATGTCCTCTTCAGGATGAATTACTTGAAATCATTTTTGAAAAAATCACACGCTAAAATAAAATTAAAGTAAGCAAGTTTAATATCAATTTTACAATCATATGCATACTTTCTTTTGTGAATATATGTAAGTAAGACATCGATAGAAATCAAATTTTTGTTTGGGTAAAAGAATGACATAAAATCACTAAATTAACAAAATTTATTGTTCATAATATGTTAAAATTACGCAAATCTTAAAATTTATGTGTATTATTTTTTATAAAATAATAATATATCAATCAATTAATTAAAAATAGTACAACTACATAAATTATTATTAATTCAATTATCTCAATTAGTATTTTCGTTTTTAAATATAAACTAACTTTTTGTTAAAAATAAGAATAAAAAAATTTAAAGAAAGTATCCAGAATTTAAAATTAACAATTTTTTTACAAAATCTCAAATTAAATAACATCTTATTTGTAGAAACTTAAAACATTTTTAAACTTATTTTTAATCTAATGACTAGATAGATATTAATGAAGCTCAACTTCTTAACTCTCTTTTACATATACACTTTCCAACTATAATATTATTAACTCGAAAGGTTTTGTAAGAAACTTAAAAATAATGAATTTTATCTTCACATATAACTCACATAAACATGATCAGGATACCGTTAATAGAAGACTCAAATGACGCATGCAAATGAAACGAGACATACCAAAGAAAAAAAGTAGAAACTAACTTTTTTTAGAGAAAGTAATTGGACAAACTTGAAGATCTCATTCCTGTGATCATTTAGATGATCTCTAATATTCAAATAAATGAACATAAGAAAAAAAAATCCTAAAAAATATCAGAAAACTCTAGAAAAGTAGTTTATAAATAAATTGCATGTTTTAAAAGAATAAAATTATTTTATAATAAAATTATTTAAAATAAAATAATCAAATTTCATTATTTTTAAATTACTATGACTTCTAAAATACTATTTTCTAAGTCTTTATATTTGTTCAAATTAATTGGCTAATCAATGTGTAATCTTTCTTGTATCTCTTAAAAACTTAACAGGATATATTAGTTAACCAAATATGAAAATTGTGGTGAACATAGTTTCCTCCTCAAAATTTCAATGCATTAATTATGTTATTGTTGGGTTATGAAACACGCATTACATGAAGAATACCTACCACCAGCTAAAGGGATAATACAATACAAAAACCACAACTCCATCCTACCATTTAACAAAAAATCTTAATTTCTTTTTAGTGCAAATATAATTAACGCCATATCTATATAATTAATAATATTTATGTATACATCACGGTGTGTATGATTAAGAATTTCGTACGAGTTAATGATTTTTCATGGGGGAAAGATTGCGTGTGGGCAAAAGAAAAAATATAACTAAAAGAAGAAATAAGTATTTGGAGAGGATTGTATATGAAGAGGCAGAAGTGAGATTTAAAGGGTTATGAGAGGTTAAAAAAACGTGAAAGCTTGAATTGGAATTGAAGGTGGGTGTGTATCTTTCCAAAACCAGAAGCAAAAGCAAGATTATAAGCATCCATTTTATGCATCACAAATTGAACTCTCTTCTCCACATCCCACATCGCGTAGAAGCAACTAACTCCCTCTTCTCTCCACTTCTATAAAAACCGCACAAGCACCCATCATCCGTGAAATGTGCGAGTGAGAGTGAGCAGTTCTCCTGCAACCTTATAACAACACCATGAGTGAAAGAGGCCTCGTAACATCTTCCTCCAAGAAAACAAGCGCTTCAACCATGTCGGGAAAAACATTCTCGGCGCTAGGAAACCTCGTCAAGCTTCTCCCCACCGGCACCGTCTTCCTATTCCAGTTCCTCATTCCCGTCGTAACAAACAACGGACACTGCACCACTCTCAACAAGTACCTCACCGGAGCGCTCCTCGTCGTCTGTGCTTTCAACTGCGCTTTCGCTTCCTTCACCGACAGCTACACCGGCACCGACGGTCAGCGCCACTTCGGCATCGTCACCGCCAAGGGGCTGTGGCCTTCTCCCGCCTCCGACTCCCTGGACTTGTCCGTATATAAGCTCCGGTTCGGGGACTTCGTGCACGCTTTCTTCTCGTTGGTTGTGTTCGCTGTGCTGGGATTGCTCGATACGAACACTGTGCGTTGTTTCTATCCTGAATTCGAGTCCGGGGAGAAGGTTCTGATGGAGGTGTTGCCTCCTGTTATTGGAGTAGTTGCTAGCTCCGTGTTCGTTATTTTTCCAAATAAGCGTCATGGAATTGGATACCCTACCACTTCTGATTCCAATGATACTTCCCAGAAGTCTAAGACTGATTCATCATCTGCATAATATATGCAGCTTCCCACGTCAGCAAATTATTTTTAATGGTTAAAGAATTGTTTTACATATCATCTTTGAATTCTTTCTTTCTTATAAATAAAATCTTTATCTTGGATTTTCTTCTATAGACAACAGATGTATAATCAGTTGGAGGGTGTTGCTCCCTCCACCACCCTAAGTGCTTATGCACCTCTTTATTATTTTTTTTTATTCCAAAAATATTCTACATTTCTCCGTTATTTTTTTTTATTGCAAAAATATCCTACAGCTCCTCACTATCTCAACAATCTTTCTCTTTCTCTCTTTGTATTAATGGAGCATTTATATGGCTTAGATTTAAACTTGTGATATATTACAAAATATAAAATTAAGAGGAAACTTTAATATTAGTGCTTCTACCACTTTCATTTTATAAACTTAAAAGTTAGATACAAATACAAAATAATAAACATAATAATATTATTAGTAAATAATATTTTTTTTTTATTATTATTATATATTATCTTTATAATGACTTAAGAACTAAATAAATTCTAAATCTTTAACAAATAACTTTTCTTTTATATTTTAAGTATTTAATAATATTTTTATATTATTTATCTAATAAATTAAATACTTTATTCAAGTTATTTGAGTCGATAAGTTAAAACATAATATAATGTTAAAAATTATAGATATTAAATGTAAAAAACACACACACATATATAAACATTTTTCTAAAAATTTAGAACAAAATTTTACCATTTATTAAGTAATTTGAAGAAAAAATATATATTAAACAGTGAAAATAAGATTTAGTTTAAATCTCTGAACCATGTGAATGCTCCATTAATGTGGAGAAAGAAAGAAAAAGATTGTTGAATATAGTGGGGAGGTATAGAATATTTTTGAAATAAAAGAAAATAATGGAGAAATGTAGAGTATTTTTGGAATAAAAAAAAAAGTAAGGACGAACACTTGGAGTGGTTATTTGCATTCGACCCGGTCCATTTAAGTCCGTTCTGGTTTGAAAATTCGGGTTTAAAAGTTTGGCCCCTTGTCTGAGTAGACCCGTCTCCTTTTTAATATATATAATTTATTGTTTTATTGTTTTATTTATTGAAAAACTTTAACACTTTATAAAATTAAATAGAGACTCGAGGGAGTTGAATAAGTGATCATTCAACCTTTTTATCATGCGTAATTGACATATATGATTAATTATTAAGATTTTAGTCCATTCAGATACTGAACCAAGAGATATAAGGAAAGAATTAGGCAAGCAAAATGAAAAAAATGTATAATTATTTAAGAAACCAATATGAAGAAATATATACCTCTTAATCCAATAATGTTTTCTTTTTCTTTTTCTATGAACGTTGCTCTCTAATTCAACCATACTTGGCTAGTCCTGTAAGAAGATTGTGTGCTTGCTGAGTATGAAATTCTGGAATATATGACGCCTTCTCTCTCAGCTCGATCCCTTTTGTGCTACCGCCAACAAAATTATTCATATTCAAAATACTTTGCAAATCCTGATTCTCTAGTGTTTTGATTGGAAAACTATGTGAGAAAGTGACTAAATGAATTTAAGGAGATTAAGGAAGGATATTGAAAGAATAAATTAAAACATTTGAAGAGAAAATCTGTGAATAATTTGATGGGTGTAAAAGATTAAAAAATATTTTAATTGATAAAAATAGAATATTATCAATCTAAGAAATTTGACATAAGTTTAAATTATTAAGTTGTGGCAATTATATTAAAATAAAATTGATTTGTTATTGATAAAAAAATTATATATTTTACAAAAATAAAAATAAAATTTATAAAGATGATTTATTTTGAAATATACTTTCTTAAATAATAATTTGTATAAATTATTATTTAAATTATTGTTTGTTTCGACTGGATCAGGGCGGACCCTGTTAAAACATACGAAGAATCACGAACGGTGCAGGCGGGCGTACGGTAGAGGCTGTCGGACGAACGCTTGCTCTCCAGCTGAAGCAGACTGGGCGGACGGTACAATGACGAGCGCTGCTGCTACGGATTTGGCGGACGCTTTTTCTCCAGGAGGCTCTCTCCAACTGATGCAGACCGGGCGGACGGTACAGTGATGGACGAACGTTGTTCCCCAATCCAAGCCGGACGGACGTCCTCGTACTCCAAGACGAACGCTGTTGAAGAACGGACGGTCGAACACGAACAGTACCGGTTGGTGAACGCTTTCTCCGTCAATGCGGAGTGAGAGGCTACTAACGGACGTCCTCCTTCTCCTGGCGCTGCTCCACGCTCCAAGTTGGACGGGCGTCCTTCCTCTACTGGCGCTGCTCCACACTCCCAGTTGGGGAGGGGCCGGGTACCTGCTAAAGGCACTCCGACGCTCAAGTCAGTAATATGGCAGAGCGTTATATAATGCATGCATGTGTTGCGTTCTAAGCAATCTGTCTAGAAATCATACCTGAGACCTTTATTTATACTGATTGTAATGGGCTTTTACTTTTTGGGGGCCTGGAAACGGCCCAATAATACCTTAATCTTCATTAAGGACTTTAATGTGCCATTTAGCTTTTAACAATGTTATCAACTAAGTGTGGATCGTTTGGGAAGGCGTTCAGTCTATGGATGATTGGACGCTCGGTCCTAATTGGTGGGCGGACGCCCAATCTTGGGTTCCCGAATGGGTGGACGCTCGTTAGAGGCTCGGTCCGGACTCTTGGGCGGACGAGCCAACTTGGGCGGACGCCTGATTCTGGAAAGCTGGATGTTCGGTCCAGAATATTGGGCGGACGTGTCAACCTTGGGCGGACGTCCGCTTCCTAAATGATTGGCCGTTTGTTGGACAATTGGTCCAGATTCTGGGGCGGACGTTCCACCTTGAGCGGACGTCCAATCTCGGACGGACGTTCTACTTTGGGTAGGCGTCCGGTTCTGAATGGCTGGACGCTCGGTCCAGATTATTGGGCGGACGTGCCAACCTCGGGCGGACGTCCGCTTCCTAAATGATTGGCCGTTCGTTGGACACTTGGTCCAGATTCTGGGGCGGACGTTCCACCTTGAGCGGACGTCCAATCTCGGACGGACGTTCTACTTTGGGCAGGCGTCCGGTTCCGAATGTCTGGACGCTCGGTCCAGATTATTGGGCGGACGTGCCAACCTTGGGCGGACGTCCGCTTCCTAAATGATTGGCCGCTCGTTGGACGTTCGGTCCAGATTCTTGTGCGGACGTTCCACCTTGCGCGGACGTCCAATCTCGGGCGGACGTTCTACTTTGGGTAGGCGTCCGGTTCCGAATGGCTGGACGCTCGGTCCAGATTATTGGGCGGACGTGCCAACCTTGGGCGGTCGTCCGCTTCCTAAATGATTGGCCGTTCGTTGGACACTTGGTCCAGATTCTGGGGCGGACGTTCCACCTTGAGCGGACGTCTAATCTCGGACGGACGTTCTACTTTGGGTAGGTGTCCGGTTCTGAATGGCTGGACGCTCGGTCCAGATTATTGGGCGGACGTGCCAACCTTGGGCGGACGTCCGCTTCCTAAATGATTGGCCGCTCGTTGGACGTTCGGTCCAGATTCTTGTGCGGACGTTCCACCTTGCGCGGACGTCCAATCTCGGGCGGACGTTCTACTTTGGGTAGGCGTCCGGTTCCGAATGGCTGGACGCTCGGTCCAGATTATTGGGCGGACGTGCCAACCTTGGGCGGTCGTCCGCTTCCTAAATGATTGGCCGTTCGTTGGACACTTGGTCCAGATTCTGGGGCGGACGTTCCACCTTGAGCGGACGTCCAATCTGTTGGGAGGACCTATCAGTACATTGTTAATCATAAATATATTAAATTTGATATAGTAAATAAAAATTTAAATTGAAATAAAAATTTTGACACAAATTTGTTTTTGTAAACCCAATAAATTAAATTTAACATTAGAAAGATATTTAATACAATATATCAATTTAATCTTTCAAATTGGAAAAACTATCCTAGATGTTATAAATTCTTTCCATAAATTGTATAAAATTGTCATCTTCGTGCGAGACTTCCTCTGATTCTACTATTTGTTATTGAATTTGAGATTGTGGTCTAATGTCAACAACGTTTTTTACAACATTTGGAACGTTTTCATTGTCATCTGCATCCACATCCTCTACCTTTTCATGTTTCTAAATATCTTAGATGTTAACAATGTTCAATTTAAATGATGTTTTTGTATTAAAGTAGTGATTTCATCCCAATTCATTGAGACTCTCATAACTCAAGTCTACCTCAAAGATAACATATATTATTGTAATCAACATTGCGTTTGGAAAATACATGTTGTTTTCTTGCATTTTACCATGTGTTCTATAATGTGATATAGTCACTTGATGATAATGTTGTTTTTCAAACACCACAAGAAAAATATATCCTCATGAATTAATTTAGCGAAATTTAGTTCTCAAAGTAATAACATATGAATAAAAACATAATATAGGAGTCTCTTATTGATATTTAAACTTCTTGCACTCCTAATCATCTAGTCATGGAGGTGATGTTTGACCATAAAATTTAAAACTTCATACTCATTCTATTCGTAGGTCTTCAAGTTTGATTTTAAAGGATAACTTTCAACTTTCATACCACAAATTATATATATATAAAGTGATCCAATCTATTTGATTTTAATCTTTTTTATTTCTCCTCATTAGAGTTATAGTCATAATTTTAATGTTTTTGTAAAATACTTTAATGAGTTTATGTTGCCTCCCATATAGCTACTAAATATTTAAATTTCATGTTAAAATTATATGCTACATGCGTTGGTGAATCTTTCCTTTCTCGATAGAGAATACTGGGATCGTGTTCCCGTTTCTTCTTCACCCTGAGTTTGGTTCGGTGTTGAAATGACAGTGCATAATTAAATTTAAATAGAATTCGGATCCATAAACCCGACCCTGATGTTCATGGGTATCTACTTCAGAATCGGGTACAATGAAGCACACCTCCAACAATTGACCTCATTTTTCAGAAGATAAACACAATTTTTTATTTCTCTCTCCAAAACTTTATGTAAAAAGAAATTAAAATATGATTTATTTTAATTCATTTTCTCTTAAAATTCGTTATAGTTTTTATTTTATAAAATACCGAAGAATTTATTTTAAAACTTATTAATTATTAAAAAAATTCAGCATATTATAATTAAAATATTTTTTAAGAATCTCAAACAAACGTAAAAAAACG